AAACTAAATTCTTCCATAAATGCCATATACAAATAAAGAAATACTCAGCAATTCTCTCTAGAAACAAGGAGGGATGTAGAACTCTGCTGGGACAGGACCTGTCCATGCCACGGCTGTTGCCGATACAGACCCTGTGCTTTTTGTTTGTGTCACAATTCAGTCTGCTTACAGCTAAACGTGCAGATAAAGCACTTTGTAACTCAAAAGCTGCATTTTGAAACCAAGTCCTTCAAGAAGGGGATACATTTAAAAAAAATAATCTTATTTAGTCATATTCTAAGGTCACTAAGATAATTTGAATGGCAGGCTCCAACTGAAAGAAAACTATCAAACTCATGAGAACTAAAGAGAAAGCGAACCATCTACTGTGTTGGCTGTTTAATCCTCCACAAGGATTAACAGTAATCCTGCAGTACAGAATACACATGCCAGCACCAGTGACAAGCCCTCCTTTCCCGTGGTTCATATCATGCAAAGATTCCATTTCAAAGCAAAGATGACTTGTTCCGGTGATGCACAGGGCCCTGTGTACTGAACTGCAAGACACCAATGCCTTGCTCGACAGGGACTGTTTTCTGTGTGATCCTGTGCCTATCAGTAAATCTGCATTCATAATCTTTTATTGTGTCTCTTCCAGGGTGGTTCACACCTTTGCCTTCCTGCAACAAGTCCTGCTCCCTGAAGAGGTACGTCCTGCGCAACCGACTTCCAGTTTAACACAAACCAGGGAGGGCAAAGGGTAAAAGTTGGTTGTTCCAAAAAGAAACTCAAAATTTACAAAGCAGCTGCCAATTAGCCAGACCTTAATTTTGCAAATTTATTTAGGAAAAAAAAATTAACATGAGCAAATGAGAATACTTCAGTGTTACAACAGAGTATATAAATGTCTAGCAATAGTCAAATAATTTGATCTTTAAATACAAAATAACCACATGAACACCTAATATACAGGTTTCATCTGAATACATATTTATTAGATAAATATTAGGTTGTCACATCATCTAACTACATACAGTTTTGCAAGACTAAAAATCACAATTATCTTTTCTGACCAGTTTAAAGTATGAAATGATTGCATTGTACTGTACATACAATGTACAAACAAAGACAATGGCCATTTTTGCATGTTACTTCAGATTGTACTTTTTTTTTAATTCTCCTCTGATCGTGATATCAAAAATTGTACAAAGTATCAATTTGGTTACAATTTTTTTTTTCTTTTTAATCCCCGTATTTTTCTTCATTATTTCTGTAGCACCCTAAAAATACACAGGTGATAGACTAGTACACGTAAGCTAAATATTACATGTAGATAAAACAAAACAAAACAAAGGATCAGAGTATATTACAGAAGTGAGAGTGAAACAAATGCTGAGACTCCACAAACGCTAACAAACAGGATTCATTTTCCACATAAGATGGAGCTTCAAGCTTTTTTTTTTTCCTGCAAATAAAAAGAATGCACATTCCAAGGAAAATGAATGCATTTCTGTTAACATGTCTCTATTTGTCATTTACATATGTACAGCTGTCCCTTGAGCCTCCGCTGCAGACACTGGCATGTATCTGTCAGTCCTATAATAATGTCTTGGCAGCAGAACTGTAGATGTCTGTGGGTTCTTTCCCAGATGAACTTCCATAGGGAAACAAAAAGTAAACAAAACAAAAGAAGAATAAAAAGACTACTGGAATTCCATATAATAATTAAGCCTTAAAACAAATGACTGTGATTACCCTATAGCTGCTAGGTTTTTTTTTGTCTAAACTTTAATACGGCAGTGAACAGATAAAAAAATAACTAGATTTTCATTTAGAAGATTTTTCATACTGACTCCACTATACAGTACCTGATTTTAGCTGACAAGTAAGTTTTACAGCTGTCTCAAATGCTCAACATTTGGGTGATGAGTAAAAATCATATTTTTGCTTTTAAGTTCTGCTTAGAAACCAAATGTTTCTGTAAGCTTAAAGATGTCAACTGTCCACTTTATCTCTCTATTCCTGTACAAAGCAGATGCAAACACTGCTCCAAACATACTGCTAATATCTATGGGGATTTTTTTTCCCTTTAATGCTTTCCAACAGGTACTTTTAAATGATATTTAAAGACTACCAGTTAGCAAAAGGTCAATCCTTAACATACGTGGTTTAAAATACTAATGTTGTGTTTAAGAGAAAAAATCATTCCAGGTGACTAACTGAGCTGCTCAGGAACCAGTGGAGGGTGGAGCATGAAACAGAATCAATTACAAAAATCTGAGCAACCAATCCCAGCTAATAGTGAGAAATCTTCTTTATTCCCAAACCTATGGCTTAAGAAATTTCCCCCCCCCAAACAAAAATCCCAAACTCTAAGGGCATAAAGTCAGTTTATCATTAGCCACCCCTGCAAACGACTTCAATACCTATATAAACAATGCAGCAAAAATACAGGAGGAAAATACTACAGTAAAATGGCTACAAAACACATCTGTAACTGAAGAATGGTCTTTCCTAGGAACTGTGTGATAGTAGCACCACACCGCAACCACATTACCATGTATTATACCAAGTTATCTTTTATATTCTGCAGAGATCCTCTACAGGTTGTCAAGCCTACATAAGAAGAAAAGACACTTCTAAGCAGAATAAAATATACTATACTGTTTCCCTCCCCCACCAACAGCCCCAAGTGTTACCGTGCCCCAGCGCCAGAGACCGGAGCACCAGAACAGTGATATAAATCTGGTACCTGACAGACTTGCTGCTTGCCTTAGCGCCTCTTTACCTGCTCAGACAGCTGCTCCTAGGTGTTCTGCTCACTTGGGCAAATGTACATCTCTGCTGCTCTACCAGCCCACGATCACCCCCAGTCAATCAGCATCAGTGGTCAGTTGGGTGGTTGGGGTTTTTTTTGCCCTAGGCAATCACTTCTTACTATGTTTCCATGACAGAGCTGGGCCCTGATTGTCCAGGTACTGACAGATGTATCAATTCATTCAGCACATAAATGGATATGAAATTTGGGCTAATTTAGCAAAATAATAAATTGGGGGGAGGGGGAGGGGGGGAAGAAAAAAAAACCCAACAACTCCCTTATTCTGTTAAAGAACCCTCAATTTTCTTTTTTAAAAAAGGACCCATATTTTTCTTCAGACAAGGTATTTAAAAACACCAGCAAAAGTATAACCAGATCATGAAAATGTTGAATATTATCAAAGACGATACTAAAATATTCACAAAGATATTTACAATAGCAATTCTTAAAATAATTGATTTTGCATAATGAACAGTGCCTTTCTTAAAAAAACTTGAAACAGGAAAAATATAAGTGTGGGACCATCTCTACATAATATGTTTGACAGCTTCAATACTCCTACTGGAAAATAAAAGAACTAAACCGCCATTTCCTTTAATATCTACAGCAAGGTGCTGCTGACTAGCATATATATATCACGACACATGTACAGCAGTAGTGGGAAACATTAACAAAGAGAGCAAAATAAAACAAAAACCGCAAAGAATTTACAAATATGACTTTGGTGAGGAAAGCAAATCCAGAGTCGTAAGCACAGAGCATGCCATTTACAGCATTGCAAACTAAACACAGAGAGCTAGGAAGCTATCTAGTCAAACCGACAGGAACAAACAAAATCTTGCCTGGCACTTCAGTTTAAAACGTATGGTGAGCAAACAAAGGGCATCTGACTGGATTCGGGATGAGGAAAAGGAGCAGGGTCAAATTTGCTTTAGTAACAAAAAGAAACAAAACCAATAACTGTACAGTGGGCAAAAGCTGAAATGTTGCACCACAAGGGCAAAGTTGGCACACATGCACTTCTTACACAGCTACTGTACATCATTTATAAGAGAGAGAGAAAGAGAGAGACGAAGAGCACAGAAATGGGCACAGAAGCAATAGGAAGCTCATGCAGGAGCGGCAACCACACAAGAAGCACAGATCACAGGGGCAAGACAGTGATTGTGGCAGCAGGGTCTCTGCAGGGCAGTAGTGATCTGCCGACAGTTACTTATTCTCCCCATGCCCAGTCCTCCAGGAGAAAGAGCTCATCTCAGCAGCCCAAGTTTAAAAAAAGAAACCGACGGAGGAGAAAAGAAAAAGGCTGAATTATCTGTAACAGTCACGAAAACAGAACAGAAAGCAAAACAAAAAGAATCTGTAAGATGTCTGTCCAATGTCAATGCACCTTCTCAAGCCTATTAAAAATAATTATGCAGATTAGGGTGTTACTCTCCCATCCTGCAAGGATTTCCTGGCTACCTTCAACCCAGCTTGACTTACTATGTATTGTGCAGTATAGACAGTGACACCAACGCTCGGGGCACCGCAGGCTGTAGGCAATAATCAGGAACAGTTTGGTTTGCATCCCTCTCCCTCTCTTTTCCATTTCATATGGCATACATGGCAAAAAGACCTATTACAGCAATCTCAACAGCTGGGTGTTAATGCAGCCGCAACCGGTACCGATTTGAAACCAAAACCACAAAAAAACCCCTAAACATTGCAAACATTTTTTTTTTCCTCTGGGTGTTTCCAATCTGTGTGTTTGGCCACAGGAATCCTCTGCAAAGAGGTGGTTAAGACTCCTGCACTTGCAGAAATACCAACACGCATGGCTGCAGCCTGGAGATGCTCAGGACCCCGTTAGTGAAGTCACATTAGCTAAACTTCTATCTCCTGATGGGCCTGGATGTCTTCCCTATCTTTGCCATCTGACTGGAGGATTTGTGCTTTTTTTGAGCTTTGTACATGTTTCTGTTTTTCTTTTTGTGTGTGGCCAGGACAATCGCTCCAACGCAAACCTGTGGTTGGAGCGGGGCAGAGGGGAGGTGGGACGGAGGGAGATAAAGTTCCAAAAAATGGAAGAACACACGTTGAAAGGACACTCTGAGACGGGTCAGTTAAAGACAGTTCCATTTTGTTGCCTTTTCTTCCCTTGCCAAGATTCGGTTTTGCCAAGATACTTCACACTATGTTTATCACAGAACTCTCTCTCTCGAGGATGAACAACAAATGGGGTTTCCAATAGCTGCACAACTGTCTATGCTTCTCAGTCACCTGTAGCACAGCAGACTCGGAGATTACTGCATGGATTTAATTTTTGTGTTTTTCTCCCATCACTTTCGCAGTCTTTGAAGCTGACAAAAGCAGTTCTCAGATGAAGAAAGCAGGGAGTGCACCATTGGATCAAGTTGTGAGTTTGTTTTCTTCTCTTGTGGAAAAGGAGTGTTAAGATTCCTCGCTGTGCAGCCACACACATGTGAACAAGTGAAAGGCATGGGGGGAATACATATAGTTTCAGTTGTTCTCAAAGAGAGACAGAAGGTCATCATTGCTATTGCTTGGCAAATCAGGAGGATCCAGGTAGGAAAGCAGCTCATCTGGATTTGTGAGTTCTGGAAGCAGCTATAAAATATAAAGGCAAAATGAAAATTACAGATAACAGAAACATAATTGAGGAAAAAAGGGATTCAACACCACACATTCCTGGAAACTGGCTTTCATATGTATATATCCAAAAAAATCGGAAGGCAGTGACACAAACCTACTACCCTAAGATGATGCGGTATCCACTTGGTTGTGAAAACCTGTATTACTCAGTTTTCACCTATGAATTACATTACCATCTAAATCAGGGTTTCTCAATCAACCTCCCCATCACAAAGTTCATCAATAAACAAAGCGTATTTTGTGGCTAGTGATGCTGACAAACACTTCTTGATAAATGCTCATTATGTATGTTCATTTCATATAAAACTGAATAAAAACTTGAAACATGCAATTTGAGTAATACATATTTAAGCTTTAAAGTAGATCAACAAAGACTGGTCTGACTCGCATGTGTCAGTGTGACGATCACCTGAAGCCTCCATCCCCATAGGAAGAGGCAGCCCTGTCCTTTCCTCACCCCTCAGCCACCCCCTTATGTCTCTGTGCACTGCCGTAAGCTCTGGGGCAGTGACCAGAGGGTTAACTCACCCCAGGTTAACATTAGCTCAGAAAGAAACAGATAAAAAAAAAGATTTAAAAAACCAACTGAGGAGGAGTATGGGGAGAGAAGTGGCAAGGCAGGTGGGCGAGTCCTTTCCCCTTCCAGGGCAGTGACAGTTTATGGTGGTTTGAAGGACTTACTCAACTGCAGCATTACATGCAATTGCAGACCTCTTAAAGGGTCAGGTGCATAACACCCTGTGTCCAACAGAAAATGCACCGATCTCCACAATGTTTTAAAGTATCAAAAGGAACAGTTGTGGGGCTCTTACTTATATTTTTATTAATGCTGTGTTTCAAATAGGAAACTTAGTTTTTCCAACCATCACTTGGATTCTTTTTGATCTAACAGCTTAACAAGCAAATTGTAACCCCTAGGTTGTACATCAGGGAATGTTTTCCACTTTATTCTGCATCTTGTCATGTCCTGGTCAAAAGTAAAAGTGTCATATATAAAAAACAGCAGGGAAGAGTTTGGAATAAACTCCCTTTATATTCAGCATCGTGATGAAGCGAAGACAGAAAAATACGGACTGCTTTAACAAATGTAATAGGTATAAGAAATTAATGTTAAGTTGTTCATGTTTTCAAATACTATAAACTAAAAGCTTGACTGCATCACATTTAGCATGCAAATATTATATTTATATGCTTCTACTACTCCTGTGCAAATGCAGCTTCATCTTCTAATGTTATATGGATAAATGTATTTTTCAATAAACTAAACATGAAGTACGGGAAAAGTTTATTACTTCCTAAGCATTTTGAAAAAAATGCAACGTCAAGTTGACATAAACAGAATCTCCCAGTATTGTCATAGTACTGAAGAGGTAAGGCTTCTAAGTGTATTTCACCTGCTATCACATTTTTTGATGAATACCTAGTACAGAAGCCCAAAAGAAAACTGCGACCCCACCAAATGTGACAAAAGTGAAAAACGGTTTAATTTCTCCTACGATTTTACAATTAAATTCTTACAAATTTAGCACATCTCTGAGACTCACTCTTGTATACAGGGATTAAAAAAAATTTCTTTAGAAAGGTGAAAGTTTTAAACAATATGCTGAGTATCTCTGAAGATGAAGTTTTGGGGGTGACCTCAGCTTGCCTTGGTCAGAGGGGCCAGGCAGCACAACCTGTGCCTGCCCAGCTGCTGTGAAACCCAGAGACCTCAGGAAGGATTTGCTGGGCCTTGGGGGTGCTGTGCTGGAGCAGAGGTAAGAGGCAGGGGAGCAGTGGGGGCTGTGAGGGATGGGGGCAGAAGCTACAGGAACATGCTAGACTTAGGGGCAGGATTTGGAGACATGCACCCAGTGCTCCTGAAGTGAATATCTGAGAAGTCTAACCAGTCATTTGAGTCTTGTCCCTCTGTCTGAGGTACAAATGTAGATCACCTGTATCTGTGCCTATATCTATATGAGGTACATCCTTTAACCCAGGTTAAACCTTAGACTCCATCACACTGAAGTCCTAAAGACTTAATGTGGCTGTGTCAGTGGGGAGTGGACCAAGCTGCCCACAGTGCAGCCCCCTGTTTGGTTTGCTCCATGGGACTTTATGCAGTGTGGATCCACAACACAGCCACTGAAAGTTAAACCCACTAAAATAATCCACTTTAACATGACTGAGCTCACAGATGTTTCAAAGAACTATACTCCCCACACTGTACAGCCCTTGCCTTCTCATTTAGCTAAGATCATTTCAGCCTCCCATTAAGAATCCAGCATGCCTCCATCAGTGATAACCACGGTACTGTGATAAATATACAGGTTTTTCTACTTTGCCTTTCACCAAGGAATGAGTGCCTGACCCATAACAACATACTTTATGTTGCTTAAGTATTTGAAGAAAAAAAATGACATTTTAATTTCACCTATTAATATTGCTCATCGGGGTCTTTAAGGGTTCCAACCTCTAACTGCCACATGAACTATCATTCCCAAAGGATGTGCACAGGACTGTGTCGTGTGAAACAGCAGCAGTCTGGTTCAGAGAGAAGTTAGTCCACTGAGCAGTGTTCCTGTAACTGGAGCTTCCATCCCTCCTCTCTGCAAAGCTACCTGCCAGCACAGTGCTCGTGTGTTACAGGGAAGACATCAGTATACCGCAACAGTAACTACAGATATAAATCTGAGGCACAGAAATTACACTGTGCAGCAGCAGACTTTGGAACAGACAGAAGCAGCACACATGGGAATGCATGACTCAAAACAAAAATCCCATCCTAGTGTTAGAAATTTAAATTTTGACAGGTAGGTGGTTGACCAGAGAGATACTTCAGATAACTCCCTTCTGACTCCACTGAATGCATGGTATGAGACAGAAGATTACTTTTGGCCTTACAACTAGGTTTATCTTTGTTGTGAACTGCCTCCCGCAGTGGCCAAGGAGGCAGAAGATGCCCTTGTTGTGTGTTTTCCTACGTGGTGCATTGGGAAGAACTTGTGCTGCTGAGCTACCCGCACGGGTGGGTATGGATAGGCACAGCCTGGTTTTGGCCACAGGAAGCAGGGACAGTGCCATGGGGTGAGCCAGCACAAATTCCCCTCCCAATGGCCATTGCAGCTTGCTTGGCACAGCTCTGCCAGAGTCAGAACCACACACAGCTGCGTCCTTCCTCTTATTCAGGCACTGTGATGGCTTCAGGTTCTAGATGAACACACAGGAGCCCTGGTCCAGCGGTGAGGGAGAAGGGAGGAGAGGGCTCCCAGGCCTGGTACCTGAACTGCTGTTTGAAGAAATGGCTGCCTTGGTGCTAGAAGAGGCCATGGCTCGCAGGCCACAGATCTGTTCAAAGCATAAATGTTCTCCAGCAAGCCAGGAGCGCCCTGTCACCTCAGCTGCAGCGCCTGTGCCCATGTACCAAAGCATGAAAGGATGGCATGTGCTGTGGAAGCAGCTCCCTATCCCCACACCCTCCCCGCCCTCCCACCACGATGCGAAGCACACGCTATGGCAAGGCAGATGAGAGTATGACACAGACTTACATCCAGCGAGGGCTCCGGCATGTCAGGTGCTCCCTGTCCACCAGCCTGACCCTCTAAGGCTGAGGAGGGATTAAAGGTCAGGTCACTGTGTGGATGGTTGCTAGAAGCGGCCGGGGGCGGCTGCCGGGACTGCTGGGTAGGAGGCCCGCTGTGATGTAATGGCTGCCCTGACTGGCTGCTGGGGTGAGGGACGTGCAAACCTTGCTGCATGGAAGTATGGGACTGATCAGTGCTGCCGGGATGAGGGATCTGCGGAGGAGGAAAAAAGCAGGAAAAGAAAGTGAGGCCACAAGATACAGTGCTCGCGGTGCCTGACTCTGTAACCGCATGTTACGAAAAGAAATATCTGAAATAAATTTTAAAAAGACACAACAGAAACAAAACAAAAAACACACACACACAAAAATAAATAAAAAAAGCACAACTGGAAAACTCCATATCCCAATGCCAGAGGAAGTGTTTCACCTTTTTGAAGGTTATCTGCAAGGGAGAGATAAACACATTGGATTTGTGCTGTTGCTTTGCTTCCTTGTGATGTGGGAAACTGCACTTGAAAGTGCAAAATAATGAACCCCAAAGAGGTGGGAAGGAGGCCTCTGGGTGCTGCTCAGCATTAGCAAGGCAGATGCTTTTGCCCTACAAAATTCCATGAATGAACGGAGAATTTGTTGAATAACAATCCCTATGCCAGGAAACTGATTAACTGAGAAAACACAGCATTCTGCTCAGCTACCTTATTGGGCAGCTTCCCGACACCACCTGCCTATTCCTGCTTCAGCTCATTACAAACATCTTGCAAACAGCAGCAGTTCTCACTCCTCCCCTCCTTTTCAGAATGCAACACCCCTTTAAGGGCGGAAGATCTTCCCTGCCCATATTCGTGGGTTCTGATGGTTGACAAAAACCCCCCAAGTCAGCTCAGCTCGCAAGCTCCCCACCCATCAGCAGAGCTGCTGTAGGCAGCTGCATACCTGCTGACTGCAAAGTAAACTGCCTGAGCTTAAACCAAGCTAATGATCACACTTCTATTTTGTATTTATGCTGCAGATAAGTTTTCCAGTAAAAGCGTAGTATTTCTTATGTTTTCCATGGGGAATAAACTACCAAACCACATGCATTTTCCAAACCCTACTATGGAAGAATGGGGGAAAAGTCTTCCTCACATGACAGAGAAGCAACAAAAACGCACAAGCACAATTCTTCCTTCTGCTGCATGGCACATTTAATGCTAGCAGAGTCTCTGGGCCTTGGCACCATGAAAAAGAAGTGTCTGAATGCTTCAGAATCAGATGTCTTATGTTAATTGGGTATATGGAGAAGCAAAAAATGTAAACATTTTTTGAGGAATGCTACACATTGCCACAAAGTGGAGCTGAAATAAAAGAACAGATACATACAACAGCAGCATGAAATTCATACAGCCAAGCCAACAGAAACCAGCAAAATGCTATGACAGCATTGACCCTTTCGTATCACAGTAAACTGCAAGGTTATTTTAACCTTAATCTTCAGTTTTGGAAAGCAAAAGGGAGGTTATTACAAAACTTCATTTAAATGTTCCCACAAAATAAAAAAATACAGAAACAAGCTTTTAAAAAAATACATTTCACCACTCTTATGGAAATTGAATACTGATCCATTGGGACAGTAATACTTGGCTACACAGGTGTCCTTTACAATACTTTGGTAGTATGAAGGTTGGTGGAAATGAGCAGGATTCTATCTGTGACACTGCATTTGGGCCTCTTTTTACAAGTACTGATACACACTCTTCTCTCGATTAGGGTCACAGTTTGACTACTTGAAAAGTATTCTGCAGCATTATTGTAGCCACCTTAGGGGGAAACTTGTACAAAATCTGCCTATAGAGCACACCTTAATGTAAATGAATCTGCAGCCTAAAAACTTTGCAAAAGTCCAAGTGAAAGCAGATCTCTATCCAAATAGTACTGTTTCCTTCTTCATTCACTGAGGACATGTGCAACAGAAAGTGTGGAAATAAGGAAAGCTTAATAATAACAAAAAGTAGAAAGCAATTTAAGACAGTTTTGCTAAAGTGGGAAAGCAATTTCCAGAAAAACAAAACAAAACAGGATTATCTCTAATAGTCTCTTAAATTTATCACTGAATGCACAAAGCAAGAGTCATACTAGCATATTTGTATCAATAATTACTTAAACCAAGAGGCATTTGTATGTTCTCAGAGATATTTCAGAACAAACAGGTTAGAAATTCTACATTATGTTTATGCATGCAAGCATTTTATATATATAAATATTTAGTTGATAAGGCATTATCTTAGGCCCTGAGATAATTGTTGGATAGGGAGTAATTGTTCATTGTAAGACTGAGGGCCACCATGATCTTAAACAGTCATTGCAGGTTCAAAATCCATCTGACTTAGGCCACAGACTCCACCAGCCAACCTAAGAGAAAGCAAAATGCTCAGGACTTCAACATTTTCTATTTGCCTTGAGCAAACTAATGATAAGTTGGCCAAGGTGCAAAAGCATTCTAAGCAATAGACTTCATGCATGTTCAGCTTGTGTCTGCAACTCCCATAATTTTATTTTAAAAACACTAACCCACGCTATGAATACAGAGCCTAGGAATGCTGCCTTTGCGTACATAGCCAGGTAATTCCAGAGTTGTTTTCAGGAGCATAAACTTTGGCACCTTGAAATATTTACAGTCTATAAAAGAAAATCCTATAGCAGACACAACTCCATCTCCAGCTTAATAGCACAAACCAACACGACTCTTTACAAGCCCAACAGTGACCTCTAGTAGCGCTGAGATGTATAGCTGTAGAGCCATGGGACCTGACAGCTGCAGAACAGTATTCCTTTCATCTCAGCAGAAAACTGGTAGTTAAAAAGAGATCAGCAGGTTAAGTCAATGTTTTCTATCTCTCTCCATTAATGGGGTCATAACTTTACCAACACTTTTACTGGGTTAGATGGAAGAACCATTGAAAGATGTCATCCTGCCCTGCTGCTGTTCTCGGCCACTTTTCCCACCCACGTCTTTGTCATTGGCTGCATCCTTGCAGACATTCAGTGAACTCAACAGGGAACTGACATGGATCAAAGCAAAACTTCCTCCTGGCTCTGAATTAGTTTTCAATCACATCAGTCTCTGGATTCAGGTCACTTCATGTCTGCAATAACAATTGTGCTGGTGTGAAAAAGTGAAAATAGAAACAAGACCGATGACTTTTTACAGTGGCATCAGCTCACATCACCTCACTGTGTGTGCGAAACTACAGCACGATCATCCATTGCTCAGTGACATACCGCTCCTCATGCTGTCTAGAGGTACCTCTGAATTCACCTTTGTCTAAAACCTGTTTCCAATTTCTGAAAACAAATGTGATGCAATACTGGCACCCATTTTGTAGCAATGTTGCACCGACAACATCAGTTCTACAGTTCTCACAACACTACACCAGGGAAGAGCTATTACTTCCAGCCATGTTTCAGGTCTTGATTTTTAATTCTTCCACAGGAGTGCAACAGCAGTGTTGAGAGAAGGTAGTTCTGGTTACCCAGCCCTGCCTACACTGGGCAAATACATCTGCATTTCCTGGAGCAACCTATGGACTACATCTAGAGGGATCCGTTTTCTCTGCCTACCATTATATAAGGGCCACCACATAAATTTTCATAATAGGAAAATTAGGAACTTCCTCAGCAGCATTCAGCTCCAGTTAGAGATGGATCTTGGGTCTACAAGGACCAAACAGCTGATCCTGATTCACCTTGTAAACACGAAACAGTCAAAGTGAATAGTAGATGAAAACAAAATACACCTTAGAAGTGTAAAAAGGAAAGACAGAAAGCCAGACAAGAGTACAGGCAACATCTTAAAACCTTAGTTCAATTATGCAATATGACTTATAGTTATTTTTGTACAGAGATGTCTGTCCAAAGACATTCAGCTACACAATTTTGGAATGTGTTAATGGCATGCATTTCTCTAAACGCAGTAATTTTAAAGCTGCCTTTCCTGAGTGTCTGCTGCAGACAAACAGTTCACTTCTGAGAGAGAAAAAATGAAGAAGGGGAAAAAAAGAGAAAGAGGAAAGCAGAGACTTTATAATACCAAAAAAGCTCTATGGTGGCACTAACAGTCCTCAAATGTGGACTGAAGACCACGTGGCTACATTGACAAGGTCAAGCTAATTCCCTTGTGTTAACAGACCTGAAAACCGATCCTCATTAGAGAAAATTAGCCATTGACATAAACTAGGTGGAACTTGCTTTAGCGCTGCTGTTCCAAACTGTCCCTGTTCCAAACAGTACAGCTTGTGCATCATCATAGATAAGGGAGAGGCAAGGCAGAAGTTTACTTTAATTGCCAATTATCTATGTGATACTAGCAAGTATCACATTTGCTACAGACTGCCCCACAAAACTAAAAGTCTATTAACATTTGCCCAAATACACTCTTACAGCTCTGGAACAGGCATAGCTTTGAGCAACTTTCACCTTTATCATCTGTAAGCAGTCCCATTTTCAGAAAGCCATAAATCCTTCACTTCCCCATTCAACCACTTCATATCTGACCATTTCAGAAATTTCACTGGGCCAACTACTACAGCAAAGGTACAGCAGTTAACTGACAAAGTCAAGAGGTAGGTGTCAGGTAATGGGAGGCAAAGGATAACTCCCTGTGGCTTCGATTCAATGGAAAGCAGCTGTGAGTGGTTCAGGCTGGTAGTATTTCCCCTCACTGCTGTTTTCTAATACTGTACAGTTGGTTCTGATGCTATCTGCATTCAGACTGCACTTCAAGCTGGGTATGTGGAATTTGCCAACTTAATGTTAAAGTTTACAGCATGTTTGCTCTGTCCTTTATTAGCCTGTAAAGTGGTAAAGCCATTAAGGTTTTTGGGCTCTTCTTTTGCAGACAGTCTTGTTACTTGGGCTCTCTCCAAGCTATACTAAGAACTCTCTCTCCACTCTCTTCCTATTTCTCACCATCCTCCTTGGAAAACTCACTGCCAGCTAGAGGAGACACTGACTGAGTAGGCTTCTGCTGAGCATCTGCTACCACATTTCCTCATTACATTCTGAAATTGTACTTTCTAGTATTCACTAAAGACATGGCACAGATGACTTGTCAAGTTAAACATCCTTCCTGTGCAGTAACAGCACACTATAAAGTCCCTGCCCTGTAACTTAAATGAACATCAAAGGATGTATACATACACATACACACAGCCCCCGAGTTAAAATAGATGACTAGCCATGTCTAAGAGCTAAATGCTGTTGGTAGCAGCTTTCTGTCATCTAGCTGCTGCAGTATTGCATTTTCTGGAGATACATAAAGTTCTGTATATAAAACTCAGTGCTCTAAGCAAGCTGCTTTTCCAATGCACAATTCTGCCTCTCCATCTGAGGCCTCAGGAATCTCCATTTTTTAGTCTCTTACACTGATACAGTCTCGGACCAGCGGCAGCATCTCTCCTTGAGATCCACAGGCTTACCCTATACCCACCTTAAGCTTAAAGGTGCCTTTCATGCTACTTTGGGTGGAGTTCCCTCTCAAAATGCTTTGATGCAAATTTTGCCCTCAGGGACAAAGCCAGGGAAGATATTGTCCCTGCTTTGAACTCAGTCAATGTCTTGTTATAACAAGCTGTCTGTTGAAGATGGATATTCACAGACCCTGCTGCCCTAAGGAATGAAGTCCACTTTTTTTTTTTCAGGTGTCAGAGCAAAGCACAATGATTAACACAAGCACACCGAGCCAGGTTGTCTCTTTCAGATAAACAAGCTTAAATGACAATTCAAAAAGCTCAGAAATACTTCTCTGAAAACTCAAAAAGGTCAGAAACTAAAAATGGCATTTTTGGCATTTCCCAGGACTACACAATTTCACAAACTTCCAAAGTGAGAAATCCACAGAAAGAAAAAGCAGTTCACGAGGCAAGTCCGTTAGCTGGACGAGAGCTCCTTACCCCCACAAAGGAAAACCTAGGTCCGTAGCACCATTACTTACAGATTCCTGCATGGGGTGACTGAGAGGTTTGTCAAGAGCTGCCATGCTGCTCGGCATGTCTGGGGGATGTGACAGCTGTGGCCCATGCATGAAGTCATTCATAGACGTGCCACCGGGATTCCCGTGCGGGAAGTCAAAATTGCCGTGACCTTGGTAACTGTTGCCTAAAGGAGAAACAGACGTGATTGAAAGAAACTGTTTGTTTCCCAACATTGACCTCAGAGCATCTTGTAAAAGCTGTGTGGCATGGCGTCCTTCCTGCACAGCACAGGGCAATGCAACGCTGAATGTGACACCACCATGCTCCCCACTGCTGGAGCAAGCTGGAGGGACGGGGAGGAAGAAACAGCACTCGTCTTTCAGATACTGGCTGCTGTAATACTTCACATACATGTTGTAACTAATTGAAAACTGATGGCGTTTTGAAAAACTACTCTCAAGTCACCACATAAACTTAACCAAGTCGAGAAGTGAAAGGATATTAAATTCTAAGGAATATTTGCAGCTGGAAGCATCTCAGTGCAACTGAGACCGACTGCCCAAGTCCAAAACTATTTATGTGACACATGTGTGAATGTATGTCTACACTTCTACACACTGAGTATGATTGTAGCACTGCTTCAGTTCCTGACGAAGCTAATTGACAGAGGTTTATCAAGAAGATGCTCCAGTACCACTTCATAGCAGAACATTTATTTTACCTCTTCTTCTGCAGTATAAACAGGCAACTTCCATTAAGGCAACGCAGAAGAGGCCTTTGTGTCTAATTGGGGTTTGTGATGTAACTCTTCTAGCTCCCACAAAACCTAATAAAATTCACTTGACTGTCTGCAAATACAACATCAGTTTTCTCCTCTTTAATTTATTCTTCTCATTTTCAAACTGGGTGCCCATAGCCTGTGTTTCAGCCTGTGGATATGCATGCTCATAATGAAAAACTAGTGCGTTTATGAAATTCACCTAACTTCAGCCTGAAACCTCAAAATTTCACACCAATTTGGAATAAATGATCTGGATTTACCCCCTCATATCTACCATCTAGCAATAATCCTGGAGTCCCCTGCTGATCTGCAGGACAAGTACTGTATGACCACTGTCGGTATGTTTTGATCCGCCCCATCTCAGCCCAGCGATCTTCACTTCAATTCTAAAGCAAGCATTTGTCCCAGTACAGGAATTTACTCGCCATATTTTTCCTGCCCATATCCCTCTATTAACACTTCCAGCTGAGATATCAACTCTGGTGGCTTATTTGCTATGAACAGCACAAATTGAACTGAAGCCACTCAGCTATTTTGTATAAGCAATTGAATTGGATGATACTGAGCTCTGAAATAACAGAATAGCTTCAGAGCTTGCACGGAGATCCTGCAGTTCATCAGCTGAAGTACAGAAGCTTTTAATGTTCAAGTCAAGAAGGGAGTTTGACAAACTGAAGTAGCTGCATCATCTGCTCTTTAGCACAGCTTCATAAGCAGAAGTCTAATCTCAGAGGAATAGAAGTCATTAGCCATGTAAGAGTATTTCTCAAATAAGCCAGGACTTTGATCTACCATGTAAATACTGCAGAGTCTTACTAATTCTCATTTTGTTAATCTGCAAACTGGATGAGTCTCACAGAATGTAGCTGGTCTTGCCTTGCTTCTCAGGAAAGATTTAATAGCAGAGAGCTGGAATAAGGTCTTACATTACTGAGTATTTGTTATATAAGCAAATTAAACTTTGGTATGCCTACTGTAAAACCCAAATAAACAAACACAAACCACAACTATATTACTACTAGTACTTTGCTCTGGAGTACTGTTAATCAGAGGACATTACCTAATTCTGAACACTAGGTTTCAGTGCATGATGTACTGATGGAGAATGAAGATGCAAAATTGTACGCCCAGGGAATTACAGCCATGCAGCAGCATGCCCTTCTCTGGGGCAAGAGTTCTGCCACATGCTGAGGGACAGACCTGCAGAGACACTTAGGATAATCTGAATTGATACACTTATTGCAGAGGAAATAGGAGAAGCGTGGGTTTCACCTGCCCTGACGGTGAGTCAGGGCTTCGAGAAGCAATGACTCCCTCTGCTACAGGATCCACAGGGGAAGGGCAGGGAAATGACAACCTAGGCAGCACCCTAAACCCCACTTTACATGACTACCCTGTCCGTTCCTGATTATGAGCTAGGAAGATGATGAAGAATAGATGGCTCTGTTCTCATGCTCTGACTGCGCTTCACTCCTACTAAACGAATGAAAAATTTGTGATTCATTGCTCTTGGCTTTGTTATAGTAATCATTCGTCTGTTTGAAAACCTAAAAAGTTCTCTCATCTGTCATCAGTTTTGCAGTCATTGGACTGCAAAATTAACCATATTTTGCATGCAATCTATATTCTTCTTCAAATGCCTGCAAAAAGCACATATATCACCTTGTAATCAATTTGGGGATTCTGATGGTGTGAACAGTTAGTCTTTTCCCAGAGCTGAACTGAGTCATATATTACTTGCAAAAGAAACAGTCTCTGGTTTTGTATTTTCAGAATTGTCACCATAACTGAGTTATTCACAATATAGCAGTCATTTGAAAAAGTCTCTCCATTTGTCTGTATTTAGTTCCCTGTTTCCCCATCTGGCAGGACATGGGTAGAGGAACTCAAAAGTGGTTTTCTAATGCAAAAGTGTTTGCAAAGCAGTTAAAAGCTACTTCAAAGTCATCCATTTTCTGGGTGGCCCACCAAATGTCACCCACCTGGCCACAAGTTAAACTCAGTGGCCCAAGCAGCAGTGTTAATGGGCCAAGTTCTCTACTTTGTAACTTCTGTAGCACAAGGAGCCTTCACTTGAATGAGAGTGGAACAGAAGGAAAACGGACAGAAAAAATGAGGAAATGCATATTGTGGCAGGCCATGGATATATAAAGTAACATACAATGTTTGTTGATCCAAGGAGGGCTGCACGGCAATAAATATGAAAAGCCCCAATTTTCTTACTAAAATATGTTTTCCTCTAAACAGATGAAAAGACTGATGCAGAATTTCAAAACTGTAGCCATACCATTTGCTTTCTTATGCACCTCTCCAAGAAGATGCACTGACATACCTGGATCACCACAAAACTGAACTCCTGACTTCTACAGTGATGACCTGGTGCACAAAGCTGTAAAACTAACCTTGGTTACCATATTCAGTGGAGTTGTTGCCTCCTGGAGGAGGGGGTAGGGATGGGTAAGGTGACGGGCCAGGACCCAAAGCTGCAATCATCTCCATCACATTTGGCATGATCATCTGGCTTGGACTCATGGTCTTAAATCTTTTTGAGGGAATGCCATCTGGGTCATCTTTGATGTGAATATCTGACTTTATAGGGACCGGCCTCCAACTACAAGTTGGATCAATGGTAACTTCTTCAAATTCTGAGCTGTAAAATAATGTGAAAATTTTAGCATATTAATGATTATTGGTTTTTTAATAAATTCTGCTGAAGTTTCCATGCTGAAGAATCTGCATGCTAACAAACATTCTGAAATGCTCTAGTATAATACAACCTCAAGAGCCACACAATGTTTATCCACACAATGAAATCCAAACACACCTATGTGGTTTGCCACATGTGAATCAGAGGGACTACTTGTAAATGCAAGAAAGTTTAATCCTCCATTCTCACTCTTCCCTCTGCTTCACTGGTGAGGCTGCCATCAAGAGAAGACCCAAACAAGATCTATTAAGTAGATGGAAACTGATTCACTCTATCACTGCCTCCACCAAGGAGCCACGGAATAGAATACTCAAGTTCAATTACTAAGACCTGCTTTGGCATGACTGTCTCAGTACTCATTAACACATCTCCTCGTTGCTTAGTCTGAGATATCAGAAATGAGTAAGTTCACTTACTTTTGTATAGCATTCAGAATACCCCACATATACTGGTCAACCTCCAAGCCCTCCAGCAGAGCAGTTTTACTAGAAAGGAAAACAAAACCAAACAAATCCCATGTTAGAATATTGCTACACATGTGTAAAAGAGGGATGGAAGACAAAAAGGTTAGTGATGAAATCAGCAGACTCGGGTCCACCAACTTACTGGTTGTAACACATAATTCACATAATTAAGGAATTATTTGGGGCAAACGGTTTTAGTTTACATAAAATCATAGAATGCATTGGGTTGGAAGGGACCTTTACAGGTCATCTGGTCATCTGCATTACCAGGATAACAGCGTTCTACATCAAACAAACGAGATAAGGATACATCTACTTGTGTGTGCCCACATGCTGTTCACATCCTTTAAATAATTTTTTTTTAGTGAAATATATTGCAAATTTAAAGGCTTTTCAAACATAGCAGATCTTTCCTGTGAACATCAGCTAGTACTATTTTTTTTTTCAAATTGGATCTTTCTTTTTTTTTGAGCTACACAGTAATATGGCTTCAAAGTAGATATGTATTATAGCTAGTTTACTTAAGGATCAGCACAGATGGGGACAGAACAAAACAAAAATGGAAATTACTTAGTTACGTAGGCACTCAGATCTGAATGCAAGTGCTCATACTCGGAGAAACAGGACAAAATTTTTGTGCTGTATGTATGAATATATAAATTAAGAAGCAAGACATTTAATTCCTGTGGTATTTTCAGCTAAACTTAGAAGATAGAAAAGACTCAGGTAGTTCAGAGAAAGCATGTGTACTTTAGGATATGTATCAATCACGGATAGTCCTGGAATCAAGCCTGCAAAGTCCACAGAAGCAGACAGAATGGCCATTCTCCACTCCTGTCTCTAGCTAACATTGGCTGGTGCAGCAGGGATTATTGAACTGGAGACTTGCAGAAATGAAGTACAAGCTGCTCCGACTCCTTGAGCTGAAGAGCCCTGGCTCTTCAGCTGAGGCTGGAACAAATTCATAACCCTGTGGACTGAGCACTGTAGGTTACAGACGCTGAACTGGCCTGCAGATGTTCTGTGATTCTTTCTGCCCAGCTGAACATAATGGGCAGACTGTAACCACTTCAAAGCTTTCTGTTCCATTTCTTCTGCATGCACCAGCTCTCTGGTCAAAACACAAGGTTGGAAGCATGCCACGGTATCCCTCCTTTCCTTTAAGTGATCACTCAAAACTTGCACCTTGGAAATTTTTGCCTTTTAAAAATCAGCCTTATTTTGGAACAGAATTCTTGCTGCTTTCTGCTCTCACTTTAATTTGCACTTTATGTCGACTTTGACCTTGGAGGATCCGACTTCATTTCCTACCTAATTACCGGAAAATGTTGCAGTCTCCAAAATTCCCTCTCTGCTTCAACGCTGCCATTAACTGCACATCTATGTGACTCAAAGCACAGTACCCGAGACAGTTATTTAGCATCCTTACTTAATGTTCAGCTGGATGCTGAACATTTTAATATTTACATATTTGAAATTCAGTAATTTGGGCATTGCAATATTAAAATTACACAAAAATAACTCTAGAACAGACTATCCGTTCTTTTGCCATGGCATGTTGTTGTCTGGCAGTTGCTTATACTTCATAATCTAGGGGCAGAGAAGCTCCCAGTTCATTCGTTTATGTAGGTATCTGTCTTACCAATGTAAATATTTGCGCTTCTTTTGAACTCTACACAACCCATTGATAGCCTGTAATGAGAGTTTGCAGAATGTGTATTTTGTGAAAAAATACTTCCTGTTACCTGTTTCTAAATTTCTAATAATCCAGGGTGTTCCCTCAATTTATGAAATATTGCAAAAATTCTCACTGGATTTTATGCTGTCAGGTAAATGTACTATATACATCCTATTTCCTACTGTTTCCTTTTTCTCCCCTCCGTGACCTTAAATATGATCTGAATTTTGTCAAATCATGTACAACTGCATTTCATGTAGTATGGTTGCACTTACTTGCATACCGGACACCTCCAAGTTCCTCTTTCACAGTTCAGTTGCAAGTAAGATTCCAGATCAAAGCACTAGGTATCAGAAAGAAACAAAGGAAAAAGAAAAAAAAAAACCAAGGAAAAAAGGGAAAACACTGTATTAAATGAATCAGTTGGACAAAAGTAAAATTGCCATGAAAAAAAGCCTACCAGCACCAAAAAACTTACTTTCTCCCTCTGCATTCAGCATACATATATAATTAATTATTTAGGTTGACAGACACAAAGAAATCCCATTTCACGAGGCGCTCTCATACAATAATCAAGCTAACGGTACAGTAACAACACATGGCTGAGGGAATACTGCCAGGCCAGTGGCATCTACTCACCTGTACGTGCTTGCAGTCATGACCCCTTGCTGGGAGCTGAATCCGCCGGAATGTGATCGGACACTTCAGAGACACTTTAATAGCAGTTTGCTCTACTCCATCTTCCCCATTTAGTGTCGCATTGCCGGAGGAAGCCGCTACACTACTGAAGTTCCTCTTTACTGTTTAGGAAGAAGGTATGAGAAGAAGGTACGTGTGAGAAACACAAGTGTACTCTAAATTCTAACGTCAAAATCTGAAAGATGCTTCAACCTTGAAGGGCCAATTTAATGGACAATTTACGCACACAGGTGTATCCTGAATAATTTAGAACATCCTCCTGAACAGACAAACTATCATACACATGCGTAACAGCTATGCCCTCAAACAAATGAAGAGCCAAACAAGCACTCAAAGCAGCCCTAAATAAATAAAGAATAGTCTTTCTACATGAGACATTTAGGTAAGTCAAAAACAAATATAGGGGGAAAGCCAGAAAGATTCTCCTGGAATGGGAAAGTCCTCCTTAGGAACTAAGCTTGCATTCCTGGTACTCAACAGAGTACCCAAATAGCACCCCCACCCAAATAGCCCTCAATATTTGAAGATATCGAAGATTTAATCTACACATATCATGTTCTGGAAATTCCTGACAAGTACAGCTTAAGGTTTTCAATAAGCAAGGAAATCTTGTATAGAAATCGCTTATCACAAGTGAACGTAGGCATTCTGGAAAGTCATCACCCACACAAATTGAAAACTCACTCTTGGTGATACAATGTTCTGCTGGGAGGAGGCGTTTCTTTAGTAGACCTTGAAGTACAGAGCGAACCGATGGCCTATGTACTAACTGCAACACGAACAAGTGTGACTGAAAGAAAACACATTTTGTTACTAAGAGACCCAAACACACACAGTAAATACACTGCTGAACAGAGCTGCATTATTCCCCTGGACACGTGGCTTCCATGAGAGCCTGGTGCTTAACTACGAAAGCTGGTTCTGCTCTGCTGCGCACACACACTCCTCTAGGGATATTCTGCACACTGCACAGTGTGTTGTTCTGTGCTCCAGGAGCGTAACACATACAAGGGCTTTAAAAAAAGCAAAGATTTACTGCATTTACTCCCTCCTTAACATTCAAAATACACAGGGCTGACTGTGGATTCTGTCTGGATTCTTCGACACAGTCCAGCCTACCTGCCTGCCCTCAGACTATGGTGGAAGTTGCAAAGACGATTTGCTATTGACGTGTCTGGAACCAACTGAATCTTATTCCCCAGCACAGAGCTCATTGTGGATTCACAGGATGCTGGCCCTACTCTTAGTCACCAGATAAATGACATTATGCAAAGAAATATCAGTGTAAAGTAAAGCAAAATAGGTGGATGGCTTCTTGTCAAAATGCCTCACACCACGACCTTGGGAGAGGCAGCAGTTTGCTTTCTTGTCAGTGACAACAGAACAGTCAAAAGCTCAGACTGTGTGCGCGCAACATTCTGCATTAAAAATACAGCACTCGTCTCCAAGAGTAACTAAACCATAGAAAAGAAGAAAGGGGAAAGTTGCATGGTCTAGACTGCCTCATGGAATATACGTTTTTCATCTGAAAAGAAACTTGAAAAATCGTCACCACCACTAATGATTATGGTGTTGGTGTTCTCCTGTCAAACCATAGGTTAATGCCCTAAGTAAATGAAGTGAGTACAGGAAAACAGTCTGCATCACAATAATCTACTTCTACATTCATACACTTCAGCCACCTTGTTACAAAGGCACAGGCTGCATAGGTAGGAGATACAACTCCCTTTCTCCCCTAGACCACGAGCCTTTCCACACACATCAGGACATCACTACATTCTGCCATAATTCAGCAGCAAAAATCTCTATATTAGCACTCTGACTGTGTCAACATCATCAAACTAGCACCTTAGCAGAAAAATGCCGAGGGGGGGAAATGAGAGTAAGGCTCCTTCATCTAAGGTAACATTTGCAAACTGCACTAAATAGCAAAGTCAGCATCAGCAGCTGCAGCTGCGAGCTCAGTGTACTTACACAACAACATGCTGTGACTGTAATTTGAATCGTGTTTCTTCCTGGCTGGCAGACGTGCTTTAGGTGCAGAGGTTTATGAGATGTCTTGTTGTCACCACGTTCAATGGTAAGTGGGGTTGCATTTACGCTGACCTGGACTGAAGCTGGCCAGTTTGTGTTCATTTGTCTGTCTTCATGGTGATAGCACTTGAACTGTAATTCCAAGTCAGACCTGCACAACAACAACAAAAAAATCTTCCTTTAACTTCACTTTCACATTGCAGAGGGAGGTAATTTTGATGCTAGGAATGCTTCAGCTTTATCAATCAGGTTATTTTTCTAGAATTATTGCCGGTAAAGGATATAACATACTTTCGTCATAAGAGCCCTTAACAGAAGCAAGTCATGATGAATTAATGATGCAAGCATGGCGCCAAGTTGTTGTTAATATTTTACACTTACAAAGGACTTTCCAAGGCAACGTCTCAAACCACTTTGCAGAACTACACCATGGAATGAATTGGCAGAAAGAAAAACATTAACATCAGGTAGGTCCTTCCTGCATGTTAAGAGTTAAGAATAAGACAGTGATACGCTGCAGTGGGTTTTGCTAGAAGACTGTGGATTCTTCATTACTTCAGAGCATTTAAATTAACACTTGTCAGACAAAAAACAGGTACAGCTAATCCTGCCTTGGAACAGGTATATCAACCAAAATAAAATGACCCCTGTATCTCACCCCCTGTGTTTCAGTGACTCCAAATTAACACAGCTGTGAATTAAATCTACCCAATTTAGACCTTCTTTCAGAGTATGAATTCCTCCCACCTCTCCAATAATAACTTACACAGACTATTTAGCTCCTTAAAAATTAGTTTTGTAACACCTCCAAAAAAGGAAGAGGCTGATATTAAGTTAATCACAAATTAAGTGGGTAGAGACTATGACTTCAGTTTCATACAGGATGTTAACCTTGTGTTAGGAATGAGTAATTTGAAAAAGAAATCTAAAAGAACATGAAGAACTGAACTGAAATGTCAGGATTCTGCTGTTCGTGACAGCAAGAGACAGCTGAATGTTTATCTTTTATGCTTGAAAATGTAGGTGCTCATTTCTTCATCTCGCCTGAAGGAAGATACCTTTCTAAGATCCACAAGGAAGAGCTCATTCAGGAGATCAATTCTGACTTAACATCATCTTTTCTGGATTTCAAAACATCAAGATTCACCGCTGGGTAAAACCCTTTTTTAAAAAAAACAGAAAAGCATAGACTGCAAATTACCTGACCTTTCAACATAATCCAGCTATATTAAGTCTTTCCAGGCTTTTTTTTCCCCCAATATTTTACTGACAATTTTTTGAAAGCTCTCTCTCCAAGATCCACTGGAGATTCTCACCTCTGACACACCATAGTCACCCGGACCCAGAGGGAAGCAAGGCTCGGTACCTCTACAAAAACCAAGCAGACTGAAGTGTGTTCCCAAGGACTCTGAGCAGGTGGTGACAGAGCTCAGGAGACCCCCATGGACTTAGCGTGCAGTGTCTCCACGGTGGGACGCTATTAACAACTGAGCAGTGCTAAGACTGACCCAGCTTCAAGATGACATTTTCCCTGCCTTCAACCTTACTGTTTCTTGTAACCATGAAAAGTTCCCAGCGGGGAGAAAAATAGTTATGCTGCTATTCATTATGTGTGTACACGTGAGAGGTTTTGCTGAATATTTTAACTGGCAGACAAATATTAAAAATTGGCTCAATTCCACCTTTCTCTATAAAACCGAAATCCATCCACACATGTGACTAATTCATTTTTCTGGAATCCATCCAGCCCCGAGTTAAATGTGAAATGACTTCATTACAAGACTATCTGTTCTCCCCACTATTAACAAGCTTTTCAAAACAGCAGACCTGAGCACAGTTTACCTATGAGTCTTCATTAAAATAAGTTTAAATAAAGGCTGTGTTTGGTGAGCTAGGGAAGAAAGAAAGAACAGATATTAAGAAACAGCCTCATGCCTCAGTGCAGCACTATAAATCTACTGAATGAGCCAGCACAATCCCCAGTAGTGATTACTTATTAATAAGAACCGGCAAATAACTGCCAAAACTCCCTCTGCTGTGAGCACTCCGCGATAATGAAATGCAAGTAAGCAATAACTGACCTCAAAGTTAGGTGTTAATTATTGGATGTGGTCTGCCTGCAACTTCCCTCCCTTCCAACCCCCAGGCTACCCCAGGGTGGGGGAGGACTGTGGCAGCAAGGACTCCTGCATCCCGCATTGAGCCTCAGCTTTAGAGACAGACTCCATCCCCAGGGCAGATTCTGGCACCTCTCTGCCCAACTCACGCCCTCCACACCGTGAAAAGAGACGTCTCAAGTGGATTCCAGTGAACAGGAAGAAGTTCCTCACAGGGAAAAAAGCTGAAGCTACAAGTTGTCACTCCAAATAAGGCCAGGGCATATGAGGTCCATGCTCAGGAATAAACTGAAAGGTGTGAGGCAGGCGTCAAGGAAAATGCGCTTAAGATGCTGCATTTTAGCATCTCAGCTGCTACACTTGTGAAATAACTTCCATACAAGATCCTGAGCAACCAACCAGCCTCCAAAGCGCATAGTGACAGGCTCAAACAATGCAATCAACTGCCAGGATAAACACTGAAATGCCTTCTGAGAAAACAGAATGAGGAGACAAAATTATTCCATGGTATTTGAAAGTATACGAATAAAAAAAACTAAACGGTTCTGATTGTCACTTGATCTAAAGCCCTCCCATGAACATGGTGAAATCAGGACATAATCTGGAATCACTTATGCAGATCTACATTAAATACAGGAAAGTACCACCTAGGAAAACTGTTCCTTTGTGCTGGAAAATAGCACTTGCTGTAAGTGAAAACCAGAAGCTTTTGTACGTGGAAAGCTACGCTCTGATATTTCTGAGTGTCCTTACTTGTGGATTCAAAGGAGGGAGGAGATTTAGGAAGTTAGTTTCTAAAGGTCGGAGTATTTAAGCACTTATCTTCCCAAATTATTTTACCAAGCCTCTGAATGAAGTCCTTCGCTAGCATGTTATTTTTCTTTAGCAGATACTCTGGCACCATTTAATTTAAGCACAAACTGTAGCAGCTCTGCGTAGTAGTTACTCCTACAACTAACATTTCACAGGTCACAAAGCACCTAGGACTTCAGAGTTCCCAGTTTGTACTGGTGTTGGTCATGCACATCCCACACCCATTCCACCCAGAGCAGAAAGGATGGAACAGTTGCAGTGATTTTTCAAATACTGCATGCCGTATGCTGTCAGCAAGGAGAGGAAACACAGACCAGGAAGCATTTGAGAACGTGTTGTCTCTGGGAAGTGACAGGTGAGAGTACCTGGGAGTTTAAAGGGCATTTTTCCTATCTAGGCTACAATGTTTTAAAGTGAAATTCATGGCAAACCTAAATGAAATTCATGTGGCCTGCCACTCCTCCATCACTGGGCGCAAGACTCCCTCACAGCAAGGCTGAGCTTACCTCCACATCAGTGTCTGATGAACAGTTGGCCGTAAGTGAAAGACATGGTTACTGACTGCCAGGTTGTGCTCCAGCCGGAAGGGCTCCAGTACAACACCATCTCTCACGGGAAACGTCAGACGCAGCTCATCATTGTGGTTGGCTGGGATCGAAGAGGGAGAGAAAGCATGAACTTTCCCTTTAGCATCTGCAGTGCAATAATAATGTGTATATTTATACAGAACAGCAACAAATGGCACAGTGATCTGCTACTGGGTCTAACTTAGCAGGTTCATATACACACAAAAGAAAATCACTAGTAACTATACCATCTGATACCAGTGACTGGGCTCAGACTGACAGCGCTGGGAAACCAAAGTCCTCTTTTCTCCCACATTTAACATTAGGACCTTAGCATTCCAGCCACCAGCAGAAACCAGGCACAACAACAACTCCTGTTTTTTATTACTGGATACGTTCTGTGTCCAGGCTTACTCTGTTGGCAGAAGACTGACAACAAATCTTTTAGTTATGGCAAACTGCAATAATGCTTACTTTGCCTGCTTTGAACTGGGATCGACACTACCCAATTAGTTCCAACAGTTTTATCAGCTGAAACTATCCAATGCCCAAAGACATCAGTGTTTAATTACTATCTGATCTCATAAAGAGAGGTTTCATGGTAACTTACAGCTAATCTGTTAAGTCCAAATGTCTTTAAACGCTGTGTTCTTGCCTAAATAATACTGCAGGTCACCTTCTTCTACACTATTTTTCAGCTATCCCGAACTCCAGACACCAGTTGCAAAGTGCTAATGCAGGAGCAGTTGTTTTACAGAAAACATAGAGGTTCTCCCAGTTCCCTAGTAAATGATATCTCCTATTGTTCATCAGTCACTTCAAAACCTCAAATATCTTGTGCTAGTATACAGCCACAGAGATCTTGTTATTTCTGCCCTGTTACCAGCCAAACGTAGCTGTGATGTTGAGTGGCTTTGAAAGGAACACAGATCAATTTCTGGCATACTACTGAATATTGTTAAGAAGCCTGTATGGATCACAACAGAGACACTCCTATAAATATTCACATTTTACGCTATTCTACAGTGATGTTCAATGAATGGCTTTGCCCTTGAACAAACCAAACCACAATGAAAGTTCACATGATAAACAAGCCTACAAAGCACACATAACACAAACCAAACCCAAGTGTTTTATCCTCAGGAAGCGTATCAAAGGAATACTTCAGGAGTAAAAATCCTTACAAGTTCAACCTGGAAGAACTTTTCTGATACTCTGTTTTAGAAGGGGACAGCGATCTTTCTCTTTCCTGTCCACCGGCTCTAGTGAGCCTGCACCGTGCACGTCACCTGTCACGACTTAGCAATCCGAGCCTCTCCCAGAGCAGCAGTCAGAGCTCTTTTCCAGACTCTGAAACACATGTGGCAGAGAACACAGGGACAATAAATGACTGTGAGGGCGTTCTGTTTGCTACTCACTTGGAGGTGGTGGTAAAGCATTGATATTTGGTTTAATGTCAGGTGGGAATGGTGGTTTGACATCCTGGTTAGGTGACAGGTATGGAGGAATATTGCTCCCTGGAGTCATAGGTGGCGTGGGGTTTCCTGGAACAGGTGAATGAGGGTAATTTGCCACAGGTACAGGCCTTGACGGCTAGAAAATAAATAACATCACATTGTTAATGCAGTCTGAAAATAAGAATAGTAAGTCTTGTGAACTGTACTGCTATCAAACACCAAAGAGTACAAACAGGGTAGGGAGGCCCCTCTGCCTCTGGAAGGATAAGAAACCACCGAACGTCCCACGAGGCCTTCGGGGAAGAGACACACTAGGATAGCAAAGCAGGAACTGAAACCAGCAGACCAGCCAGCTTAGTTCAGGCAATGACCAGGTACAAGCAAGGCCGCCAAGAGGCTCACTGCCTTCCTCTGAATGCTCTTTTTCCAAAACCAACCAGCCATTCACTTCAGTTTTTCCACACCACATGAACCCATCCAGCCCCCTTTTTATCTCTTTGGCTTCCTCCCAAAACAGCCCCAGTAGACAAAAGCCTACATGGAAAACGAAATCCAAAGATACGCAATTACAATGTCCATGTCCCTCTGACTTCCATCTATCCTTTCTTCTACCCCTGTCCAACTCATCTGATCAGGATGAAAGCTCTGAGGGTCAGGGAATGTCTTTTATTCTCTGTACCTACAATTTGATTATTTTCTTAGTGTGCTGCCCAATAAGACAAACTAAGAGAAAAAGTATCAATAACAGCTCTAGTATTAAAATACCACCGGTTTTCTTTCTTTGGGGATGGTTGCAGTTAACAGAACAAACAATAACAATGACGCGAAGGAAGCTGACATTAAACAAAACTGTGATTGCATGGCAATCTCTCCCAGTAGCTCATGTTCCATAAGCACACACAGATGAGAGTGTCAGGAGATGAAAATCTTTACAGACAGCCGAAGTATTGGGACTTGAAATCCAATTCTGTATCTGATCCTGCGTGGCTAGCCTACAGTATGTAAAAGAATTCTGAGAATTCTGCATTCTGAAACCTTAAGCATTTACATTTACATTTCCAACCATCTTTGCTATTTTTTCCTTAAAACATACAGTTACTACCTCCACAATTACTACAATCCAAAGGTTCAGGTCCTTTCTGTGGCAAGCTGGAATTTTTTCCCTAGCCAGGATAATCTCCCTTCTTAACAAGGTCTCTTATTTTTTAACTGTTTTGAGAACAGTCGATATTTGAATACAAAATAGGAGATGCATTGGGGAGACCATGGATTCCCTGTCAGAATTATCCTGTAAACAAAAAAATTAAACCCCATTTAAAATAAGCACATATAAAAGGTATTAAAAAATCTGTCACTTCAAAACTTCACAGTTATCTTCTACTATTATTTTAGCAGAAGTGACTGCATGGGAATTACAATAGTTGAGGATCTGTCTTGTCCTTGTGTTCTTCCTGGCAGTGTACTGCGCAAAAGCCTCCATGACACAACAGGCATTCCTTCGGGTACCACAGTGGACAGCTTGGTTGCACATAGAACAGATGCTCTATAGTAAATGAGGTTTTTTCCTCCTCTTTTTTCACTGGTGTTTTCTGTGTCAATCACACCAGAACAACTCCAGTTCAAGACCAATGTGCATCTTAGATTCTTTCCGCCTACATTCAAAATCAGAATGTAGTCCAGAGACTTCAACAGCTAACACTTTAGGAGCAGGTCAGACCACTGACTGTCCAACCCCACATTTACACTCACTGGAGTACCTGTGTGCAAAAGATCACTTTTGTGTGCACTTTGAAGACGTCGAACCTGAGCAGGACCTCAGTACAAACTCAGTTTGGATAATGCTAAGTGCTCAAGATGGTTACATAAAACACATTTTAGGCAACATTTTGACAATTCTAATTCTTACCCAAAACAAGCAGCACAGAGAGAAAAGAAGGAGAAAAGGGGAGGGAGAGGTTGGAGAAAATCATGCAGACCTCAGTTCAAAGATGAATTCTACAGCTGGAACAGCTTTTAAGTTTGGGCTGGCCTAACCCAACAGTGACCACTGTAGGTCTGAAACTGGGATGCTGCAAAATGGAACTTGTATATTACAAATTTCCAAAGTTGCATTCTTCCAGGGTGCCACAAGTAGGTGAAAATATTACACCTGAACCCCATTAGGTCCTTCTTTTTACATGCTATATTTAAAGCAAAACAAACATTTTCTTGTAAAAGCCTCTAATGAGCTGCAGTAACATTCAATTTTCTTTATGAACTCCTCTAGACAATGCAACTTGGCTGACTGACATGAGTAAAAATGCCATGCTATCTTCTCTCTTTAATTACATAAAAGTGGTATCTATGAAGTCATTAATGTGACTTCATTCATAAATTTCTACCAGAATGCAACAAGATGATGTAAAAATTCTTACCTTGTAATACTGCCCCATGTTGACTGTTGGAGGAGGGTACTGCCCTGTGTTTTGCTGGCTTGGCATCCTCTGTCCAGGATAGCTGGGAGACGTAAGGGGTCTTGGAGGGTTGGGAGTTGGGTACTGACCAGGCTGGTTTGGAAACTGGCTATTTGGTCCATACTGCTGGTTTCCATAATTTGGCTATTTCATGACAGAGATGAAAGAAAACAAAGATGTGTTTCCTGCAAGCAGCTGTCTTGAACTGATTACCAGCATACATTCAACAGTGGAATCAAGACTAACACAAAAACCTTCCAGGTGAATACTCCTCAACTTCATCCCACTCCTAAACCAGGGCCCTGATGACTGGGGGTGAATACTCACTCGAAAGCATAAAATTCCCACAAACTAAAGTGGGAAAAGAATAACTATGTACTTTAACACACACATACACTAAGCCTTGCAGCACTGTCAAAGGGCACTGTGTTTGAAGAAACCAGAATTATAACCAGATGCAACGTTCACAAAATCTCTGTATTTTTGCAAGTGCTATCAGTCCCATCCCTGGGGCTCATTTTCCAGATGCAGAATAAAAGCATATAAAGAAAAAGTAACATTAAAAAGCCCCACAATCCTGGAATGCGCAGAGAACAGAAGCTGCGTTGTCCAAGTCTGTCTCCTCAACACAACTGTTATGTTGACCCTGTGCTAGAGTGTTTAGCAATGTCTAACAACTACACAGAAGTTATTACTAGTCATAAACACCTCACTAGTGCTAGCTAGTACTGTGCTACAGTCTTAGAATCAAAGTCATGAAAACCGGAACTTCAAAGGTAATAAAATCCCAAGTTGAAAAATTAACTGATTAAGAAGAAGTTTCCATAAACCTAGACCAGCAAGCATGGAACATTTAGGGCACCATTCAGTATTGACTTCTTGGGAATGTGATCATATTCACTTATAATGAAAAACCTGCTTCTGAAGTAGCAAAAAGGGGTTTACAGTCTTCCTTAAAATATAAAATCTGAAGACAAAAATTATGCGAAGAAGCCACATCCTGTGTTTTCTGAACTTAATTAAGGGGCAGTATTTACAGGGTGAAAAGCCTTCCCAGAGAAGCAACTCCTGCAAAAGCACGTAACTTTTGTATTTATGATTTTTTTTTTATTTAAAAAATATAGTTTGTAGACCAGGAAAGAAAGGTAGCTCAATAATAAATGTTTGCTTTATCGTCTGCATGCCATGGTACTCTGCTGTACGTTTTCTATAAACTATTACTATCATTATTATAGTCAGAGCAGTATCATAATACTCAAAGCTACACACCTGGAGTTACAGCTGTTGTTAGCCTCAGTTTTAATATGAAATTTTAGCAGGAAATTATCCCTGAAGCTAGTAACTTGTGGCTAGATTTGTAAAGACATTGAGGTGCATACAGATGCTGAGAGACTTTGTGAGATTCTCAAAAGCACCTACTGCCTGATTCACAGCGATGTGGATAGTAAAATGCATTAGTGCTTTATAAAATTCAAAAGCTCATCTGTCTACATCTTTGGTTGTCTAAATTTCTTTAAAATTTTGAGCCCAAGTGTTTTGCCCAAGGTCATAATACAAGTCAATGGCAATGTAATTTTGTCTACAAAGCCACTCAGATCTCATACAACAGCATGGGAATTTAGACAGAAATACCACACTGCAAATAAACCAGTATTAGATAAATGCTGACTCAGAGAGATTGGAGTTGAACATATTTTATATGTATCTCAGTGCCTATGAAAATCAAGCCTCAAGAAGTTTGGAAAGCGATTGGTCTTTAAAATACACGTTATTACTACCAGTGTTTATACAACGTATGCCCTGTATTTCTTTAGAACTATAAAGCCATCCAAGGAAATGCAGATCACATATGTACTGGGCTCAAATGAAGTATTTCACCTTCAGCATCTCTCTTAAGTTGTCACATTAAATAAATCCACTCCTATGAAGGAAGTCTGCTTAAGGTCTATGAATTCACCATCTAGCATGAGAATCTCAGAGTGACATTTTGAGGACTCAGCCAGTTTTGGGCCTTTCCTGGTTTTAATGACTGTCATCTCGACTAACATAGCAATGACCACCCTGAATACATTAGAAGTCAAAAAGGAAGAGCTGCTGCCGCTCCTATTTTAACAGCAGTATTCCTTATCAAGGCTGCAATAAAGATGTACCTAGCGTACAGGGATGTACACCACACCTTACCCAGCACATTGCAGCTTTCAGTCAAAATACCAGTGTACAAAAATACAATTGATTTTATTACCTCTCCTGGGTACGGTCTCTTTATGCCCTGTATAGGCAAAGACTGGGGCCGTGGGCCTGCGTAGGCTTGCTGAGGCATCCTCTGCCCATGGGTGCTGAAGGGACTCATTCCAGGAGGCCGAGGCTGGTTCATGCCCATGGGTGGCCCACTCATGCTGGAAGGTGTCATTCATTGCTGGGTTCATGTTGCCTGGCATAGAAGCAGGACCACGAGGACCAGGCTGGTTCATAAACTGGTTGTTGTAAGCCTGAGTTGGACCCATCTGGAAAGAGGAACAAACCTTCAACGGAAGAAGAAAAAAAAAAAAAAAAAGAATAAAATGCGACATGCATTTAAAATGGGAGGAGGGAGCTGAACATGCTTTTGGGGGAAGGAAGAAGGGGAGGATTTATGTCGCATTTTCCTTCAACGTTTTCCAACATTTGACAGGCAGTGATGTTATTTATAATAAAAATACAATTGGAATTGTAGAAAGCATAAGAGAGAAAGACAGACCTAAGTCTAAGGTGAGCAATTAAAATCATTTAAATTGGCTAGTCTGTTAACAGTGAGGTAACAGGTTAGGAAGTTGGCTGCATAAATGGAGCACAGCACTGCAATTTCTAAGACATTGTGCTTCTTTACATCACTGGCACAAGGGTCTCATATACTTCAAAACTCTGAGGAGGTTAAAAAGCTAAGGAGAAAAACTCTGAATTTGACCAAAACCTTTTTTATTTTGAGAAAAAAATATTACGTGAAGTCATGACTTGCATAGCTGTTCTCATAGACAGCGTTATCAAAAAGAAAATCTCTTTTCTACTGTTGTTTCCTTATTTGAAGGAAAAAAACCCAACCAACCAACAGTAGTTGGCAAAATAAACAGTTACCCAAGAGGTACAAAACCTATTCTGAGGTTCTGGAACATTTTACTGGGTACTCAAATTTAGAAGTTTACAGGGCTGGCAAAGGCAGCAATAACATATCACATCAGATGCAGCCGTATCCTTGGGTAATCTTCAAATCCTTTGAAGGGGCACTCTCCAAACTACAAAATACTCTTAAGGCAAGATTTATTGGGAAAAACATGGGAGACCAATTTACACCTACATAGATACATTTGAGCAGTTTCTCATAAGCATTTATAACCATGCTCATGAACAAAAAACCTGCAATAATAGAGTAGGCACCCTAATAAACAGGGGAGTAGAAAGTGCAGCTCAGTTCCCTGTAATGGTCCAGATCAGGCAAGTATGAAGACATAAGGGTTACTCTCTTACCGGTCCATACTGGTTCATGTCCTTATTCTGCGTTTCCTGAAGGGCTGCCACAGTGGCTGGAGCCGTAGCTGTTGCTGTAGAAACGGCAGCAGCAGCGGCTGCAGCAGCTGGCTGGGTGAAATCAGCTGGCGGCCTTGTGTGTGGGGGGATCCCCATTCCTGCAGGGGTATTTGGGCCTCCAGGGTAACTAACAGGGAAGAAAAGAAAGAAAGAGAGAATTAAGATGTGCCTGGTGGATTTTGTTTTGAATGTTGGTGTGATCTTCATCAAGAACTGTTCCAATACCATGTATCAATGCCTAATGAAAGCAGCAGAACGGGCAAGTGGGTGTGTACATGAGATATAAATGTTCCTCAGGTGCAACAGTCATAAGGCTGCCGTCAGGATTGCAAGGCACCACCATCAGTAGTTTCAGGGGTAGTGAACTGCTTTACAGCTCTGTAGCTTACTGCGATGTTGAACTGAAATCCTGAAAGTTAATGCATGCTCCATTTCCCAACAGTGTAGGGGCAGGCTGCACAGCAGCATGAACACAGAGCATCCTCCACTACAGCACGTTCATCTGCCTCCGTGGTGAATTATGCCAAGTCTTCCTGACACTGTAAAAGCGTTCCTCCCTGAACCTCAGCAAAAAGGCCAGGAGAGACACAATGCAATCAGCTCTACTGGATCCTGCACAACATATTTTGCAGTTCCTACCCAGCTCTCCTATTGATCATAAGATAAATTAAGCTAAATCATGCCTTTTCCACTCTAAGATATCAACTATCTTTATAAACATGGGTCAGTATACTGTGCCCCTTTTAGAGATGTTAATACAAAGCTAAAGAAGCTTCCTGACTTGTTCAAGGTCACTCAGTAGATCAGTGGCAGAGATAAAAGGAGAGAGAAGTTCACTGAGTCCCAGTCTTATATTCTTCACACCAGACTGACTACACTAACAACCTTTTCAGAAGGCTTTGCAGAGGGACCATAAATAGTGGTTTCAGTTAAGTACACTTACCACCTTTGTCTACAAAGCATGGACACAAAAAGTAAAAATGCAACAAACTCCAGGCTATTGGGTTTGGCTTATTTCACTAACGCAGCATTTACTTACTTCCCTGAAATAAATTCACAGCTTGACCATCTCTCTTAAGAAACAGCTTCAACCTCAATTCTTTTGAAATTACTGCCGTAGAGAAGCAAGTCTTTGGGAAGAAATATCCCATTGCATGTGAACCTACTTTGCCTAATACTAAAGCTTATTCCTCCATACGCACATAGAAATTATATCATCAATACCTTTCACATCCTGGCCTTATTAAATGTTAATCACTCCTAAGCCTGTGGTCTGTTTAACAATCTCTCTTAATTAAAACTTTATTTTGGGGGTTTATTAGAGCTAATTGATTGACCTAAGCCATTTCCATTTACTGTGATGAATTTCACTGCAGTTTGGGTAGCTGATTTCCAAAGGCAGTGTAAAGGCAGCGTGCACTTCAGTTAACCAGCATAAAATAGCTTCCAAGACTTTATATAATTAAAATAAGCCCATGACACTTCTGCCAGGTCACTAAAACAAGCTTCATGAACTGTTTACATCTATTTTCCACCTCACACCAAGTAAATCTTACCTGCCACCAAAGCCTCCACTTCCAGGATAATTGGGTCGCCCATACATGCCCTGCTGTATGTAGGGCTGAGTGGAGCCCGCCTTGGCTGAAAATTGTTGCTGCTGTCCAGCAAACTGAGGGGAATTGATTCCAGGGTTGCTGGTAGTCATCCCAGAAGCCATGGGGTTTCCTGCTGGGTTCATAGGGTTGTTAGCATTTGCCATTGGATTTCCCAGCACCTGTGAGAAGAAACATGAGAATAAGGGACTATACCTTGAACTACATCAAGCAAATTAAGTTGACTTGCTGCACATAATAAATTACAATATGACCACCCTGTAGTCTGAACTCTAATGAGCCCACTCCTTCTTGATGTCTAGGTGCACATTCCTGGTGATTTCTCCTTTCCCCATTTCCAAACAAACAAGAGTTTCGTATCTCCGACTACCCTTCTTCTCAGGAGATTTTTATCTAAATGGAACTCAAACTAACATGCTTATGAAAAAAGTTATGATAAAGACCCACTAGAACCATGCTCTGTAGGTGACAAATTCATCTGATTAAGAGAAGGTACATGCCTCTTTTTTATGTAGGACTTTGAAGCAACTTGCAAATAATTCAGTCCCACTGGTATACTGTAAAGGGTACTACGGATGCAAAAACTGTGACAGTACGTATTTCAGCAGCTTAACCTGTTCTTGAATCCAACTCTTTCTAAAGTGTATAGAAGCCTGATGGTTGTTTTTATTGCCTCTTAGAAAACAGTCCTCTGTTCTGTTTTTAAAAGAACTTGGTTTGCTTGTCTGAAGCATTTCTTTTCAGTTGAACCAAAATTGCTACGATTTCCATTGAGATCTAAGGTCATGGATCACCTGCATGGAAATCTGTGTCCTACTTGAGAAGAAAATTAGCAGAAGATCAAGCTTTGGGAAGCTGTGAAAGGGAATCGGTGAGTCCAGCTCATTGCCTTCCCTGGGGGAGCGTGAAGAGTTATGGGAAACCCTGTCATTCATTTCAATCTGCTCTGAACAGCTTCAGCCAAGCTTCATGTTTCAGAGATTTTACCTTTCTCTTGCAGTGATTAAGAAGAAGCATTTTCTTCTTTTTAGTAAAACACTTTTTTCTTTTTATTGCACATTCCTCTGAAGTATCATGAAGAGTTCAAGTAACACTACCGTCTTCTTATGATAGAACAAAACTCTTAGTCTTTTTTCTTTTCTTTTGCCTTTTAAAGTGTGAAAGATTTCCACAAGAAACTGTGTTTCTATTCTCTAACCAATTATATAGACCTATGTGTTTACTCTGGTGTTTCTCTCCCAGATGGGACACCTTTTCTTTTAAGATGCTAAAAAGAAATCAACAGTAATAAATCATGTTACAGATCCTCTAACTTGTTTCCTCTCTATTTTCTGAAGAAAGATTTTGCCACAACCAGTGCTCACATAACTGCCATGTGCTTATCTATATGACTGGGCCTCTGAATGATTTCTTTTTCAAGTTGCTCAATCCATAGCAATTTTGGTTTTAATTTTCTGACCAAAATTAAATAATACTAAAAAAAATCCACATAAAATTCTGTATGAGAGCTAATGTCACTTGATTTGAAAAAGGTAGAAAAGACAGGTTATGTACCTTTTTATGTACTCAATAAAGATGGTGATGTGTTTAGAGCATTTCATCCATGGTGTAAGAAAAGGCAAAACAGAGAACCTGGTATGTGCCACATCCCTTTGAAAGCACAAATAATTGGCACCTCCCTCATTAAAGCAGCTTCTTTTGTACAGCATAATTCAATATATATTGCAGAAGAAAAAGAGAGGTAAGAGCAGAGAGAACCAAATGAAAACCCAGTTAAGTATGGGTCTCACCTGGAAGCCAGGAGCTCATGCTTTTGAAATATTTTTGCAAAGTAAAGCAATATTAACAGCAGAGTCTATAGCTGCTAGTTTGCACCTCAGCATGGGGGCAGACTTGGCACTGGATTTCACCAGCCCACAGGTATGACACAACTCTGAGTAAAATCAACAATAACTGTCATCCGGTGAATTTAGCTAGATTATTTTTTTTTTAATAAAATAACTTCAAATTCAATCTGAAAAAGCTTTGGGATTACTCCCAAACCATACTTTCAGTGTTGAAACCATACAGTGCAAAATACGTGCTAAACCCAAGCCTGACATTTGCATGCAGCTGAAGGAGTTACTGACTCGAGCTCTCAGACACCTCCTTTGCGATGCCACCAAAGAGGACACGACTGGAAAAAAAATGCAGCATGCACAACAAAGGGAACACAGACACCGTTATTGATCCCAGAAGGATCTTCCATAAAGCTTTCCATTTTGCAAACATTAGTGAAAACCTGTATCTAGAGGGAGCATAAAAACGAAGCTTACCTGGCTTTGAGAGGTGTTAGTCACACCCCATACTGTGGTGACCACTGATAAAGAGCCTGGGGGCTGGTTCGTATTTTGCTGCCAGGGAACAGAATCATAAGGGAAAGACCCATCACTGCAAAAACAAATGGTTACATGGTAAGATTTTGGAAGTTTAAACAGTGACAAGTTGCTGGTGGGGACGAAGGGATTAACACCTCACATTGCCTTAACTCCACATTCCTTTTTCTATTATTAACCTACTACTCTCAGAGGCATATAGTTTAATAGCAACATGATCATATCAAAACCACACAGAACTAATTAATTCCTTAACTATATTGAAGCACAAGGCTTTCACCACAAAGGTCTGTTACCAATGAGAGTAAAAATAAATTCAGGGACAGTGTTTCAAACAAAGGTACTACCCAAGTTGCTCAGAAGCACTCATTTTTTGCAATCCATCTCTCAAGCTCTTCAGCAATCACTGCTTCAGCTGCCTCGTATCAATTCAATTAGATTTTGAGACCAGACTGCAGCTCCACTGTCTGCAACCAGGTCTCCAAATGGCCAGAAGAGTCTTTAAAGGAATAGCAGTTCAACATCATTTTGAAAAGTAAATTGAAATTCAGATAGTGTTCTCCCACATGATGGATAAGCTGCATGCCAAAACCAGTATTAGCTAATCAGCATTCTAGAAATTCAACTGCAGATATACAACACATCTTTCAGATAAATATGTGGATGAGAGGATTGGGTTTTTCCATTAGCTTTGTCTACAGATACAAGCAAACATTTCTTACAATTCTTTTCATATGAAAGCACTGGTGGTTTCAAAATGAACAGGAGATAGGTACACAGCCAGTATAATTAATGAAATACATTCAATCCAGTGAAAGTAACTATTAATCCTATAACTGCAAAATATATCCTACTTGAAATTTGCTCGTTCTCATACTATTAACTTGTAAATTAGATTTCTATTTGCATATACGTAAACATACACACACGTGATCTTTCCTCATCTAGATACACTTACTATTTCATACATACCCACATTGCTCACTCATTTTCAAACGCCATTGACCTGTATTTTATATCAGGAACTGCATTTTGGCCTGGACTGCCAGCTATTGCTGGAATTTGACACAGGGCTACCTTGCCTAAAGAACCCACACAGCTCTGAGTGCTGTATCCACACACTTCAAAGCCTGCACCGTAAAGTGCCACACAATTGTCTCACACCGTGCCATACACGACACAGTGAGACAACCAACCTGCGAGCGTCCTAAGAAGGGCTCTGTGGCAAGCAAGGGAGCCAACTCTCCCATGCCCCCAAACAGCAACTCCAGGCTTCAACCACTTCTTCCTTTTGTGCCGTGAGCCAAAAAATCAAGGACTACCTATGTGTTCATTCTTTAGCCTGTTCACAAAACCTAGTGGAAAGCATTTAAGAATAGGAATTGCAGTGCACAAAGAAGTGTGCACACGTGTGATAAAAACTGCTAGTGTCCCAAATAACCAATAATCTAACAACAGCAACTGCGTAAGGTAAAATGAAACAGTGAATATACTTTACAAACAACTAGGAAATTTCAAACGAATCCCATAAAGCTGTGCTAGCACAACAGCATTATATTAGAACACAACTGGGAATTTGAACTGACCCATTTGTTTCAAAATACCCAAACTGAATTAAGCAATAAAATCACACATTAAAAAAAAATTAGGGAAAATAATAATTTCCCCTTAGAAATAATCAGTGAAAATTGATGGAAAATAGTAATTCTCTATAAGATGCTTGACATTTAATGTTTACATTGCCAGCATCCCTATAAAACAATGTGTGAATAAGGGCATATTTAACACCTTGCAATCAGTAAGTCCTATTTTCTTTAAAATAGTTTCTCACAGAAGGCTGAAAATCTTCCCCCTCTCATTCAGAGGCTCAGACAATGGCTTCAGTGACTAATATTTGCAAGTGACGTAATGCTTCAGTAAGTCCCCCTCCACCAGCATTGAGACGAATGATGACTAACCCAGAATTTGCGACTGCTACGAAGACTTCCTCTTTTTCCCTGCTCTCAGTGATGCCTCCTACTTTGCTTCCTTCTCTCACTGGTTTTAATGATGTCTGCTCTGTGATTTGTTTGGATATTTATGGCACATATAAGTGTTCGTATACTTCAGTGACTACGAAGAAGCTCTCTCCACGACACAAGCAGTTAAAGGACTCACTGCAGCCATTTCTCTCTATTCCCTACTGATGTGCTGGGAACAGGTAATAAAACCTGAGGGACAAGGCAAATACTGTGCAAGTGTATGAGTCAATAAGAAGGGTAATGAGAGGCAGGAAGCAAACCACAGAGTCACAGAAGGTTCTTCTGATGCAAATAAGCTGTACTGTTTGTACGCACACAAACTCTGAACTAGCGCTGCCTTAGCCTGCTGTTAAGAAGTTACAAGTACTTCACTTCCCTTGCCTCCAAAGCATGTTCCTCTTACTTAGTCCTCTCCTTGACAGTAACAGGAGAGATTTCATATATTTTTCATTCACACTTTCCAATGGCAGAGTCAGAGCATTTGTTTAGTGGAAGGCTGCAGTGGGTTCTCAAAGACTATACAATTACTTCATCTAATTACAAACAAGAGTAAATCACTCAATTTTTACTGTGTTACAGTTAGAATGGGTGACAACTCGAGAAACCATATTGTTGAAACATGATGAAAGCCCTCAGCACAGGACCCAGCATAACACATGAACACCAGAAAAAGACGAAGTACAGATTTGTTGAGAAATACTCACTGTGCACACTGTATCACACGACAGTTCCATCATCCAACACAGCACTTACTTTTAAGTTGCAAACATTAATATCAGTTTTCATGGCAACACTGAAATAGTGATGGATGTGCCTTACAGAACAACCCCTTATACACCCTAATATACATACACTCATTGAGCTAGACCTCACTTAACTCCAACTTCACTTCAGTTACCCCAAACTGAAATACATGGCCTTTGTGTGGTTTGCATTCCCCAGCATGACACCCGGGGCCAACACCAATCATGCGCATGTCTGGGTATGACTTTTGCCATCCTGGATACAATACCCACCCCTCCTTCACTGCTGAAGGTCGCTTTGGTTTCAAGCAGTGGGAGATGCTGAAACACGTGCCACTCAGCTAAAGGATTACTTGTCCCTCCACTTTGCTCTTTCAACTTGCGTTTCTGTCCTTAAGATAACCCAAAGGAATACTCCCACCATCAAAGGAAAAATCCATGTAAGCACCGTAACGAAACGTGACCAATCCAATTCTTATTTGCAAAAGAGCACTGGCTTTCCACTGTTATTATACAGAACTGGGAATTATACTGAAATCCCTTTCTTTAAACTTGAAAATGGCAGCCAATAGAGAAAGCAGCGTCAACCTCTCCAGCCACAGTGAAACGCTGCCCACGACATTGTTCCTGTTGAACGGTACAAGGGTAATTAAGTCTCTCACTACACCCTGGAGGGCAGTGAGTCAGTTTGGGCTCAGCTGGAGTCCTCTAAAAGAGTATTGACTAAATTTATAATAGTGTTAATGAACCTATACATACTACTGGTCAGCATTAAAGGCCAAACAGCAGAGGAAGCCATAGAGCAAAGAGGAGATGGAGGGAAATGACTTCTTAAACTATGATGTAGTGAAACTGCAATCAAGGAATAAGGAGGAAGGATTTCTTAGCTGCTGGTAAATGTACTGAAACCACTCATAGTATAACACTCTTGTCGGAGAGGTACAATGGTATTTAGGTCCAAACAGCTTATCTTAATCCCAGTACTAGGAAAACAGATAACCAGCCTCTTTGGAATAGTTAGCCTTCACGTCAGACACAGACTTGGTTAATTCTAATAAGAGTTGCTTAATAAAAAGTGAGCTCCATAAATTAATACTAGTGGATTACTGTAATTTACACATGATTTGTGGCATTAATTGAAAATGCTGCATTTTAAATATGTTTATGTTGCTATTAAAGCAATTGTATGTGTATCTGATAGTCTGTTTACGCTCATGGAGGAAGGAGAGATTCAGATGGTTTAGTGAAGTACACATCCCTAGAGCATTGGTACTTTGCATGTTGCGGAGGAGGGTAAAAACTCAAATTATACCTTCCCATTGATTTTCCACATCACTTGTTGAAGGCCAGGTGCCTAAAACACTACCTTTATAAAGTATCTATCCGTTTAAAACACTGAAAATCTTATCAACTACTGCAGAAAATCACCAGATGTTGGTTTTCTCAAAAAACCTTTTCACTCCAAGCACTGGCATCAAGTTTCCCACAGCTGGGCTCTCAGTGCCTAGTTTCTGTTGCTTACCCTCAAGGCAGCTTCACAGTTTTGCAGCGGTCTTTAATGTTTCTGAAGCACAGTCATCCCACCTGACTGGTAGCTGACATAGAGTCCACACAGTCCTTTAAACCTACTGACTCTATCACAACTTCTTCAGCTGAGCCAAGATGAGCAGGCAATTGCCAGTGTAACCCTGCCTGCCATTCCTCTCATGTCTTCTTCTGTCACCCTAGAGAGGAGAGCATCTCTCAACAAGGAGCGAGGTGTCAGAGATCTACCCAGGCCAAATGCTCCTCTGCTGTTACACATGGACAAAAATCAGAATGGTCATAAATCAGAACGGCCCAAATACAGCCCAAACCCAGGGCTCCTGATCTGTCCTAGCCTGTGGGCATCTCTCTGTGCCTGTACCTTGCTCTGCCTCCACAGCTGCCTCTGGGCGCCGGTGAGCTCAGGGTGCCCAGCACCCCTCGGCTATATTCTTGGTGGGAGCCCCTCTAGATGACACTACTTTAATACAAATCAAAACACAACACTCTCCAAACAAGGCTCCTTGCTCCTGTCTCACCCCTCTTTTACCCCCAAAACCTCACCCGTCTGCAGTGGAAAAATAACGCAAATCCCAGACTCAGAACAGGAAATAAACCCCTGGGTAACTGCAGCACCAATACATGCACTCCATGCCCGCACCACCTCACAAATCAGGCAGCTCAGCTTCTTTCTTTCAGGTTTAGTTTTCATTTTACTTGGGTTTCTCGAATAAACAGCACTCATGTAGCTTTAATTATTAATATGG